GGAGGAAGGAGGGGGGGGGGGGGGGGGGAATTAAAGAACGCCGGGAGACATCGATTTGCTCACAGAATGGCTCCTTTTAATTCTGCGCGTCTCAGATCGGATTTACAAAAATATATACATTCGTTTCTCTATGTACAATAATTACACGGAAGAGTACGAAAATATGTACAACAAACTACGACGGCGCCTCTCAATTCATCGCGTACTGCACGCCGATCGCAGCGTACGCGTTCTCCTCGGCCACGGCTGGCAGAGAATTTTCTTTGTTCGACTCTTTCTTCACCGAGTTTCTTCTCTTCTGGTTGTCGTGGGTCTTCACGTGTTTCGTTAGATGGTCGCTCCTCATGAACCTTTTGCCGCAGGTCGCGCACGAGAACCTCTTCTCGCCGGTGTGAGTGCGGAGATGACGCTGCAGCTCGTCGCTCCTCGTGAATCTTTTCCCGCAGAACAGCCAACTGCAGGCGAACGGTCTTTCGCCGGTGTGCCACCTGAGATGCGCCTTCAGATGGGACGTCTTGCCGTACGATTTGCCGCAACCGGGCACGTGGCACGCGTGCTGCCTCTTCCCGTCGGGCCCCACGTGACCCCCGTTGTCCGTTTGGCAGTTCGGGCATCGACACCTCGTGCATCTTCGACCGGACTTCGTTGTCTCCTCGGTGACCAGGAAATGGTGCTCCGCCGGCGGTGTCAGCGGCCATTGGTAGTGGCCCGCGTGGTCGTGGGGGCTGGGTGGTAGCGCCGGCGCAAGATTCGCCGTAAGACGACTCGTTGGAAGCCCTGGTGGAATTCCTGGTGGAATTCCTGGTGGAATTCCTGGTGGAATCCCCGGTGGAATCCCCGGTGGAATACCTGGTGGAAGTCCCGGCGGACTCGGAGGCAAGGAATAATGCTGCATGCTCAATGGACCCTGATTCAGATGAGTCTGAGCGGTCCACGTCACCGTGCTGGTCGGCACGGCGGGCACAGTGTAAGCCGGCGGTGTCAGAGCCTCCGAGATCTGGCTGTGACTGCTGGACCCAGCGCACCAGAAGTTCGGTTGATTATTCTGCCCGTGATGATTGCCCAGCGACGGGTTGTAAGACTGGTAATGGAAGCTCGGCCCTCCGTAATTCATCGCGGAGGACTGATGCATCGACATCGGCAGGCTGGACATCGGCGTCATGCCCGGCATCGGCGACATCGTCGATATGCACATCTGCAATTACAAACGAGAATATTTACCGAGGGGTCGGTCGCGGTCGCGCGTCCGTAATTAACGTTCTCCAGGGAAAATTAATATTATTACTATTATTATTATTATATAATATTATTAGAATATATATTATAATATAAAATATTTATTACAATATACATAATATAATATAATATATATATAATAATATTGTTATTATTATTATTACTATTACTACTACTACTATCATTATTATTACTATTGTTATTATTATTATTGCTATTATTATTATTACTATTACTATTATTACTATTATTATTATTATTGCTATTATTATTACTACTATTATTATTATTGTCACTATTATTATTCATTGACTAACGGGTGCGTGCACTTGGTTCAAGACGATTCCTAAAACTAAATATGAGACACCTACCACGCGAAATAAATAATAAACTTAATGCCTAAAGCGTGCAAATGAAAGCAGAAACATCAAACGAATCTTTAAAACGATTAACATCGACGAAGTCACGATTCAAGCAGTCGAATCAACACTAAAGATTTATAGCTAATATTACGAGCCCGCAGTAGGACGCCTTTAAACAACGCGGGTGCACGTTTTCCCCAGGCACACACTGTCAGCTTCGCACGATAGCTTGCCGAAAACAATACGAAAATGGCGGATCACTTTTCTACAAACAATCGACACTGTAATCTCGCGTAACACGCTATTAACGGACCTGTTGATATTGCATCACTTCACTTCTCGGCTGTCCACGATGCTTTTCTTCGGTCACTTGATTGTTCCGTCCGTTCGTCGAGCTGTCGCGGCACGCGCGACGATGCGCGAGGAAAAATAATCCCGCGATCTTGGTCACTCTCTTTCTCTCTCTCTCTCTCTTTGCTGGCACTGTTCGCGCGGAATATCGAGACGCGAAAACGACGATTACGACTGCGTGGCGATAAACGAGGCCGGATTCGTCGAGAGAACCGTGCGCGGATCGGAGTGTGTGCAACTTCGAACGTTCGCCTTATAATTGCTGGTTGCCGACCGTGTCGCCTCGGTTTTAATAACCGAGTGGACAAGGAGCCGACGAAGGAGGGAGGAGGCTGAATGCTCTGCCGGGTTCCTCTATGGAAGTGGGGATAGACCCCAGTGAATCCTGCTGACTGGTGCGCAAGCGTCCTCCCCTCCATTCACTCATAAATCAACCCTGCGTTCCGAGGATAGAGGATCGAGGATCGAGGCTACGCACCTTTTGTGGACGTCCCTGGGGGCTGCCTCATGCCACCGAGGAAAGCATTCGTGAATCCTGTGGTACTGCCGTATCAAAGCAGCGTATTGTTGTTACAAATCGCCATCTTTTGCAACCAGCACGCAGACCCCTCCTCGCTTGAATTTTTTAGAAGCGCGCGCGCGAGAGAGATAGAGAGAGAGGGAGAGAGGGAGAGAGAGAAAGAGCACACTTGCTCCATTACAGCTTTTCACCCCGGTCCGTTATGCAAACAGGAGCCGAGCGGGGCGAAGAGGGTTCGAAATAATTACGAATTATTAGCCCAGTTCCGCTGATTGGCTCGGCCGCATAGCGCCAAATGAGCTCGCCTCTCATTCGTCAGTGTTTTTCGTTAATAACTCGTAAACGAAACCGCCGATTGCGTTTTCGCTAAGGAAAAAGTTATTTCCAGCGACTTCAGGAATCACCCCATTCCGGGTGTTAACGTAATTATGAGAACACCGTGTGTATACCGTCCTTAAACGTCTTTTCGATATCCCCGCGTTAAAGGCTCGCTAGAAAGCCTTACCGATGAGTCATCTAGCGGGACCAAGATATGAACCATTTATTTTGAAAGTGGCATAAGTCAATTTTTCAAAAAAATCGAGTTAATGGTAACACTAATTACAATTGAACGGTATCTTTCCATTAAAAAGAAAAAAGTGACTTATGCCACTTTCAAAATAAACGGCTCATATATAACGCTTCGTTTTCTTTACCTCCGTCTTTTCAGCCGTTCACAACATAAACATTTTTTATTTCGTTTAATCCTTTCACTATTTTCTATTTCACCGTTCCATTTTTACCATAAATCCATAAAATCCGCGGTATAGTCGTTAGTAACAATGTGATGCGCTGTGTTACAGATTTCTGCCTGCGGATTTAGAGTGGATACAAATGAAAATAAGGCATGTAATTTAATTACTGTTGCTCTTTATTAATGCAGAAATCGTCGAGAATGCTGAATATTCGAAGCCGATCTTCGCGACAACGAAACCTCAATTGAATAAATGTTATTCTTTACTTTCAAAATTTGTCCTTTTTTATATAGAATTCAGTGACAGCTCGCATAATCTCTAAAGGACGATGCAATAGGTATATATAGTTATCATAGATATAGTTTATGTTCATATAACTCCTGGGGCAAAAAGATTCCGATCATATACACTTATATAAAATGTTCTTTTATGCAGGTAAGACAATTGGATAACGTAGTTATTTACGTAATAAAGTAAATAAATGCAAAATAACGCAATTTTTCATTTATTATCAAAAAGAACGCACAGAAAACACAAAATGTTATATAGGAAAAAGTTTCCGATCAGTACAAATGTTGGAAAAATGTTTCCAATTATGGTTCAAATATAACCCATAACTCAAATATAGCTCTGTGAATGTTTTAAGCGGAGGAAGCAAGCGTAAAAACACAACTCGTGCCTGTGAAAATGTGAACAAACGCTTTTACCGCTCTGAAATACAAAATGTTTCAGTCGGTGGATAAGTAAGATGGATGTGTGCAATATGCCCCCAATATGCCCCCAATATGCATTCAAACGTTTTAAATTTAAGCGTAATCGAACTTCTCAAGCAAGGTAATAGTAAAAAAAAGTCGCAGAAATTATAGGATATAGTCAGAATACGACAAGTGATATAAAAAAGAAGTATAATGAAACAGGCAATGTGTACCTAACCGCAAGAAAAGTGGTCGTCCTCGTGCAACAAGTAGAAAAGATGATAAAAAATTGCGTGAATTGTTAAAAATATGAGGCGAGCAACATGAAAACGAAGAAGTAAACAGTGGACCTCGAGTGTCAGAAATCGATTAAATGAAATGGGCTTCTCATTTCGGAAGGCAAAACCAAAACCTTTACTCACAAAGGAACACAGGAAGAAAGGATTAAGGTGGTATAAGCAATAGAAAAATTGGACTGTGGAGGACTGGTGCAAAGTAATATTTAGTGACGAGTCTCGTGTTTGACTTGGAGCAGGAGATGGCGAAGGAAAATTTGTTTGCCGGAGATCTAACGAAAAATTTAATGAAAATTGCATGAATTATAAACAAAAATATCTGCAATCTTATATGATATGGAGTTGTATAACGAAAAATGGAGTGTGTGGGATTATTATGCATTGTATACCAGAACGTGAACGTAGAGACATATATTAATATTTTAGGAGATTTTTAATTCTGAGCATAGAGGAATGGTTCGTGGATTTTTAAGATATCATTTTTCAAGATGACTATCGCTAGCTGTCACCGCAGAAAATTAGTAAAAGACTATTTAGAACAAAATTATATTAAAACATTGAAGTGACCTGCGAACAGTCCCGAGAAAAAACAAAAATCTAAAGAGAATCTTCGACAAGCGATAAAATTGTCGTGGAAAAAAATTTCGCCTAGGGATTGCGAAAACTTAGCAAGATCAATGCCCTAACTCATTAAAGGTGTCATATGAGCGCGTGGTAATGTAACAAAATATTAATAACTCAAATATTAATAATCAGAAATTTCTTTCCAACATTCGTACTGATCGGAAACATTTTTCCACACAACATTTTGTTCTCTCTGCGATTTCTCTTTGATAATAAATAAAAGATCGTGTTACATCGTGCTTATTTACTTTATTTAGATGTCACCTACGTTGCTCAATCGTCTCACCTGAATATAAGAACATTTTATAACTCCAAAATGCGAATGTTCTTTGCAAATTATATATTATTGCAACATCATAGTCGTCGCGATTAGATTTGATTCTCCGACGCGAGCGCAATAAAACGGAACGTTTAAGTAGAGACGCGCGTACGTTTCAGTTGATTTCGTCGTGGTTCGTTTCTCTTAATTACGGGACGACAATTTGCCACGATGCCTACACCTTCCTTCCGTATGATCCCGGATCGTCGTTCCGCGGTTCGACCGCCCAAGAACCAAAGCGATGAACGACTCGGTCGGCAATAATTATCGGTAGAAACGACGTAACTCGCAAGGGCGGTAAGCTTAATCGTTCGGTTTTAATTGATGGATAAGACATACGCGTTTAATTAGCGGTCCTGGCAGCCCCGTGACGACCCATTTCGAAACGCGGCCGCTGCTCTGGCTGCTCGCGCCGGCGTAATTGCGCGATAACGAATTGTGGGAGTTACGCTTTGCCTTGCGTGAAACAATTACGGTTAATGTACTCGAAAAAGTCATCCACCCTTTCTAATTTTATAGCCGGCAATTCGAGCCGGCCGCGCCGTCGCGTCGTCGCGCCGACAATCGAAACTTCTGGCGTCGTCGACGTCGTCGTCGTCGAGAATGGCCGAGGGTGTCGTGTTGCGAGAACGCTTCGAAAGAAGTCGAGAGCTCGTCGAATTCTGCGAAGCCACCGTGCTAACGACATTGCCGAGGGGGGTGAAAAGAGTCAATGTAGAATTTTGTACGGTGATTAGTGAAGCTTTGACGAACGACTGCGGGGACGGACCAGATTTGCAAAGACGTATCAAAGCGTGGCGAGACCCGCGTCGGAAGCTCGGGTGCAGTTCGGCACACGGAAGCACCTGATAACGGGCCGCCAGTGCCCAAGGTTCTCGGTACGCTTTGTGGCGTACGTCGCAGCCCATCGAGCTATGAAAGATGCTTGGACCACCGTGTTCCGGGAGCAGCAGTCACAATGCGCTCTGGCCAGTCAGCACCCGGAGGGTTGCGAGCCAACACAAAGTCTCGGTTTATGGTGGCTGTAAAGCAATAATTTGGGAAGTCGAGGTGACGACAGTTTCGCGCTACCGATCTGTACCAGATAGATGGCCGGCGATAGATAGAACCCTGGTGATGTCAGCGCACAATGCGAACAAACGTCCCCGCAGTGGCGCAGGTACCCCGGCAAATTGCCGGCGCAGAAACGGGTGCACTTGGCGCGACACAGATTACCTTCTCAAAGGATGCTCTGTAGCCTCCGGACGATCAACTGCCTAATCGCCGCAACATAGATCCCAGAAAGACCTGTATCGCACGATCTCCTGGAATCTTGTTTGTTCAGGGTCGGCGGAACCGCCTCGATAATCTGACCGGTTGACGAGGGCCTTATCTGCTTCGAACTGCTGCGAGCAGCGGTGCCTTTTACCAAAAAGTTGGCTAAAATTCAATTTTCGAAGTGTGTACAGTCGGCGACAGAAATATACGTGCACTGAATATAGCACGCGCGACATCTTCATTAAAACGGTGTAATTTTCTTAAAACTACACTAGATGACTTGCATTTTTTTTTAGGCAGAGAGACTAGTCTATTAGACACTTATTAAAATGCTGCTTTGACTTTGCTCGTTTTTTTTTATTTTTATCGGAGCTTGTGACGAAAATTTTAGGAACGCATTTTGTCATTCCAAGAAATAACAAAATTATAAAAAAGTATTATAGTCATTGTGTGATAGGTTAGCTATCTGTCATCTAAACAAATTTCATGGCATTTAGGCCAGTTTTAAAAAGGTTATGCTATTTTAATATAACCCTATAAAAGGTTTTATATATTTTTAAAACGTATTTTGTCTCCAACTGTACCAACTATTATAATGCAATTTCAGTGCATCAAGCGACGTTTGAGATTTTCAAATATCGTTCCTAGATCGAGGTTGACGAATTTTCATATGTCGAAATAACTTAAAAATAGTAACATCATTAACGTTTTGACTGCCATGTCACACAAAATTTTAATCAAAATTACAGTATTTTATTTAACCAAATTAAAATTGAAAAGTTAGGTTGCATGACGTCAATTACTTTTTTAAATCAGGAAAATATGATAGATTAGCGTAAAACTTAATTTTCAAATTTGAATAAATGTCTCCGTTACTCGGATATTCTGTGATAGGGTAGTTAAAGTGTTAATGTATCACACTAATGGTTATTCTTAAAAAGGACCATTCGCAGAACATTTTACTATTATAATATAAATTACAGAGATGAACTTTGCACGCAAATGATACAAAATATTTTTAGGTTATGTCAAAGTTATATATATTATATAACCCTGACATCATTATTACAATATATTATCTTCCCTCCTCAATATGTATGTCCTAAATCGTTGTTATACATATTATAATAATGTGTCAGTCATAGAAAGATCTGCCCTAATAATATTCATGACTTAAAGTAAGATATCAACTATGATATCCAATCGAAAATATTTGCCTGTTTTTGCTCATTATTAAGGTATTCGAATTTAGATTGCTAAGTAATGCCCGTCATAATATTAACCCTTTGCACTCAGATATTCCTTCCCTTTGGACATAACAAAACTGCTGATAATTATGGTACTTTCAAAATCAAGAATTTTTGATTAATAGAATCTGTATCAATACGATCTTTTATTATATCTTAATTAAAGAGTCCACTTATTTCCAACGTTCCATCATCTTGTTGTCTTTAAAATGTTACTTGCTACTTAAATAATAAATAAATATGGTCGTGTTTTTACTTCCAACAACATTTATTTATTCGTTTTAAATCGATTTTGTTATATTTTATCACATTTTATCATATACCGATTTTGTTTTAAATTGGGA